GCGTAAACAATAAAATGTCCGTTGGCGTCTTCACGGTCTTCGTGTTCAAATAAATGATTCGATCAGTGACTCCGGATATGTGTGAAAGTTTGAACACATCTGTCGGGATGTAAATTAAAATAAATTACAAGTGCAATTGAAGAGTGGGCTGCAGCCCACGTTGCACTTTCCATCTCCCGCCTGCGCAGTCACCGAGAATGGCATATTTTTTTCCTTCTTCCTGGTCTGGGGGCGGGTTCCTCTGGCTTGGAGGTTGTTGAAACGACGACCTTTTCGTAAGGATTGTCTGCAGCGGAAGGTGTTCGCGGTCCCGGCCCCGTTAGGAAACCACAAAACGAATGTGAAACTCTATCGTGAAGTTTCATTCAACGCAAATAGAATCGATCCGTTTTGGATGCACGGGGTGTTTGATATGCATGAGAAAATATAATGGTTTGTGAAATACTTCTTTCGTATATAATATAAATTTTTACGACACTTCCATTCATGTAGCTCGATTGTTTTCTGCTTTGTCTGGCCTTGTTTTGGGTCTGTCAGATTACGGTATTATTCTGGCATACAAACAGCATTAAAGACATTAAACACTCGGAGATGCTGAGAAAAATGCGTCGGACAGAAATGGCAGGAACATGACAGACTAACATCAAACATTTAAGATCGATTAGAGACAGTGCCGAATAATCAAATTGTGAAACCCTTTTCGAATAAAACGAACCTTCGACAATACAGAAATTCAAAATTGCTACTGCATACAAAAAGACTGGAAAGTAGTTTCTTGAATATACTTGTAAACTTCTATGTATACAAACACTACAAGTCCACGTTATGATTAATTTTTCAAAACCAATAAAACTCACTAGTACAAATATCAGAAGCCTAAGCTCTATTAAATAGCACTTTGTAAACAAAAACATTCACCAGTAGGTACAGTATTGAGTAAGTTGAAATTTCCGAACCATTTAATAGTTTCAAGATAAATATTCAAATTTACAATCAGTGAAACAATTGTTATAAACGTACAATACTCATCATGTCAAGTATTTCGTTTGCCTCTCCTCAACCTGCTTATTACTCTGTCCAAGCTCTGATGGAACAGCCGTCACTCATATGACTGACACAGGAGAAAGGCAGACCAATAGATTCAAGATAGAAAACCAAACTTCTTACAACCCTGGCCAAAAAATATAAAATTAAAAATTTTAATCTGATAGTATATAGTGGTGAGTTTGTCGTTTTGGCTCACCCACCTTACACCCTTTTCAACCCACTGAAAATGGTAAAATGCCGAAACGACCGAAAATTCAAAATCTATACGATTTATAATCACCGTCGCCATAATTATAAAAAATAAAACAGTCATTCCTAAAGACCGGATTCCCGTACAATTGCATCTTTCATCAACTACGAGGTTGTATTAACCCTCGGAATACCGGTGCTTTTGAAAATTGTTGAAAAAAAACCATTTTTCCCCAAAAAATAACCGAGTATTTCGGTTAAAATGAAGGGCCGCTGGATTCGAACCCGGGACCTTTCTTTATCTTGCCGATTTGTCTCAACCTGCTTATACCCCTGTGCAATCTACTGAAAATGGTAACGTGCCGGAACGACAAAAATTCAAGTTACAAATTTAAACGTCTTACCATTACTGATGCAGTTATTATAAAATTACAAATTTAAATCAGTCATAATCTCACACATTTCAAAGCTGGGTTTGTCGTTTTGCCTCACCTAGCTTGTAACCCTGTCCAACCACTTAAGACTGTGAAATGCCGTAGAGATTCATGGTAAAAATCCTAACTTCTTATGAACACCGATATAATAGTAATAAAATTAAAGATGAGATGATGGATCGACCTGCTGTTGAACAACTTGGAAAAAGGACCAGAAAACTTGTGACCTCACCGAAGATCCTTTTTCCAAGTTAATAATAAAATTACTCATTTAAAGGGTCCTAATTCCAAAGAATTTAAGAGAGTTTTTTTAAATCCTTACAATTCTGGTTTAAATGTACATATTCGAACGCCCTTTTTTGGACATTATCAGAATTGTTTACCGTTTCTGAATATGAAAAAAAAAAAATGTAGTAAGAATTTAAAGAAATGCTCAGAGTTAACGTCCAGATCCTTTGAACAGAACTTTTCAATTTTTTTCTTAACTATTGTATATGTTTCGTGAATATCGTGATGTTTTTCTTTTATTGTTCCCTTTAGAGAAATTTTTGCCCGATTCAGAAATATAGCGACAAAAAGTTTAATCATCTGCAAAAATCTGGTTCTACAATTCTGGGTGAATAGTCATAATCTCGTAAATCATTGATGGATGGACGCTTTGCCTCACTCTGCTTGAATGCCTGGTCATACTGATAGAATCAATGTCAAATTGCAACTTTTTTCAATTATTGGGTTGGTTCAAAATTAATGCTGGTTTTGAAAATTTGTTTTATTCTCGCAGGTGCTTGTCATGTAAACAAAGCTAAATTTTCAAAAATAATTTATGAATTAAAATAGATACTTTTAATCTATCTACCTGATAATTATCTTTCACATATCTCTCATTTTTAATTCAAAACATTTATATTGAATTTTATAAGAGAGGATCTGCGAAATACCTATCTCCAAATTAGATTTTCGTCAAATTTATTTGTATGAATTTAAACTTGGGCAATGTGCGGCTCAAACCGAGCGTAACATCAATACAATTTGGGGGACGAAAGCATTAGCGAATGCTTTGTGCAGGGATGGTTTCAGAGATTTCGTTCTCCAAGACAGGGAAGGTCACTGTAGGCCTTCCGTTGGGAACGACGACCAACTGAAAACGATAATTGAAGAAAATTCACGAAAAACAACACGAGAAATTGCGGAAGAGTTTAGTGTTTACCACTCAACCGTTGTTCGCCATCTGTAGCAAATTGGTAAGTAAAGAAAATCGACGTACTAACCGAAGCCCAAAGAAATGGAAGCTTTGAAATTTCTTCTTCTGCTGCGCCAGCAAAATGAACCATTTCTACATCGAATCATCACGTGCGATCGATTCTTCACGTCGCACAGGTGGTTCGACAAGGATGAAGCGCCAAAACATTTTCCGAAACCAAATCAGAATCCAAAAAAGTTTATGGTGATTTTTAATGGTGTGCTGCTGTGGTTGTTCACTATAATTTCCTGAATTACGGTGAAACTATCACAGCAGATAAATATAGTCAAGAATTTGACAAAATGCACTGGAAACTTCAACCTCTTTGTCCGGCATTGGTAAACCGTAGGGGCCGATTCTTCACGATAGCGGCTGGCCACATGTCACAAAACATTCACCCGACCTCTCAGACTTCCTTTTTTTCGGTATTTTGATCACTTCTTGAAGGATGAAGTTTTGTAAAAAGCGCGGTTAAGCCGAGAACGCCCTCCAAGACTTTATTGTGAGACGAAATAAAGATTTTTATATCAGAGGGAATAGAAGTTCTTATTACATTGGCAAAGAGGTATAGGTTGTGATGGAAAATATTTGGAATAAATTGTCTTTATATTATACAAATTAAAAATAGTTTTGAATACCTTTTCAAAACCCGCATTATTTTTGCACCAACCTAATAATCAATATCAACAGCAATATTAACACAAAACTTAAAACAGCCAGCATTTCAATACTTATCAGGCATGACGGCGATTCTGCAGTTCGATAGTTAATCCTGATCTACATATCGTTGTTTTTATCTATTATATTTCGGCACTTCGCAGCAATCAATGCTATGTTTGTTTTTCCCTCCACCTTGTTATATCCCTTATCAACGTCCGAAGAATTGTGCATAAGATTTTATATTTGGTTAATCACAGATAAACAACCGTTAACAATTATTTTGGTCTGTCTCCTTCGATGTAACGAACTCTGATGATGCGAAATGCCGAAGTACATCTTTTATACTAAAGCAGCCGGGAAAAGCAAATCAAAAGATCACAACGACCATCTATCCACAGGTTCATCACCCCGCAGACCTTAATTTAGAAATCTCACAATTCAACCACTATTTATATTATTGAGCCGACAAATACGTCGACTTTAAGCATAAAATTCTCTTGGAGATATTTAAATTGACTGATTCTCCTGCGATGGCTCGAGTAAAATCAAACACGCCGGGGCTAAATATTTTACCATTTATCGTCCTTTTGATTAGAACTCAACTCGACTGTTATCGCGAAGCATTCTTCGGCCTTCTTCTTCTCAGGATGACGACGTCTCCTTGAAAGCTTTTATGTCCCTGTTAAAAGCCAAGATCCAGTGGTTTAAAATCTTTACGAGTACCGCTTCACGTTTATCAACTCGAACAACTTTGCCTAATTCGTCAACGGAAAATAATTCTTCAGTAAAAATTAAACCAAAAACAATCACAATTATTGTAGCTCTACAATTCGCTTTAACAAATCTAATCTATATTTTTTAGTGCTGATTTTTTTCTCGTGAAATTCTTATTTTTGCGTTTATAAAAATAAACGGTTGTAGTAAAATTTAAGTCAGTCTTGTTATTTTCATACTATTTTAATTTGAATCATTGTATTTATGTGTATTCACTTCATATCAGATTATCTACCCTTTTAACGATGAGAAAAGGTTTTATGAGCATGTAAAACTCATTAAAGATGTTTTCTGCTTCATCGGTTGAGGGAGCTCATTTATTTTTCTGTTAGCGAAAAACTACAGCTTGACTAGCTCATTATTTTTCAAGGTAAAAACAAAAATAAGTTTTTTCTGGGAGTATTTGCCAGAGAATAATACTAAATAATTGTCATAGGCAGATTAAAAAAATATAGGAAAAATCATAGCAAATAAACAAGAGGACCAAGATGTTCGACCGTTGACTCCTATCTGACATAACCATCCTTAGACTACCCAAATCTAGCCGAATAAAATTAAATATTTACTAAAAGATACAAACCAAATGTGTTAATGTTTACATAAAATATTATATTTCATTTTATCAGTTGAGATTATCAAACACGAATGACACCAGAAAACTCTTGACAGTTTAAAGTATCTTAGGGCGTGCAGTTCGGTTGTAGATAGGCTAAAGTGCAACAAATATTTTAAGATTTTAAGGTGCGTATTACCCATTTATGTAATGCTTTTTTTCACTAGTAACAATTATTTAAATATAATTCACTTGTTATTCTAATTTATCTCTTTGGTTATGTTCTCAGTGTAGGATTGTAATTATTGAACTAGTACATATACAGACTATAACCCCAATCTCCCATACAGTGCTGTAGAGAAAGCCAGTCAGTGCTTCTAAACTGCAACACTTAAAATAAATATAAATGCTCTATGACAGCCTATGAAAGTTACTTTTAGGTTGTATGGACAGATAGAAAGAAGTGAATTTAAATTAATTATGATTTTTAAAAATAATTTTTTTGACTTAGCAAAATTCTTTTGAAATGACTGGTTGATTGGAATCTACCAAACTACCGGTTCACTACTCAAAGGGATTCAACGAAAACTTGTACAACATTTGTATTCATAAATTTACTTAAGTTTAACATAAGTCCATTTTTATTCAGAAATCGTGAGATGCGGTGTGGTGTGATGTAGGTTTCAGAAAAACATTTTCTTTATCGTGCTAACGTTTCGATCTTTATTGAGATCATCTTCAGGGCCTTTGAATAATTATCGATTAACGGTCACTAATCACCACACATAAGTCTATTAAAAAAATATATATATTATTTTGAAATATGTAATGTTTTCATGGTATTTGAGGATCGGGGATTTGGTTGAAATGGGAAAAATTCAAGTATCACATACAGCTCTGATGGAGACTAAATAAAGTGACAAAATGCAAAAAAGAACTAAAGGAACTAGCAATAAGTTAAACATAATTTTTCAATAAAAATATATTGAAATTTCTTTTTAAATCCAGTAGTTCGGTCATTTCTGATCAACCTGGTCACTTGAAAACGACTTGACTAAGTACAATCTCACAGACCAAAGTAAGGAGAATAGACAGTAAAATACCACACCAACATACAACCAAAGATTGAAATGTATGCCAAAATGAATTTAACATACCTAAAAACCACGAGTATGGGCAGACCTGGATGACCATAATTGGCCAAATATCAAATGCTTTGAAGACTTCCTATTATTAAACAGTGATAATTAATTACATTTTCATTTCTCATGATACATTTTTTATAATGACTTACAATAATGAGGCACTCATTATACCACCCAGATACAACAAATCACCTTGTCTGTCTACCATATTTTAGAACACCTTTAAAAAATATTAAATGATAAAAAATTTACTTGTGTTGCTTGTTTTTTTTTTGTTTTTTTACAATGAAAAGTGGTCCAGTAGATATTTTTCCATTTCATACTTCAAGGAGTAGGTTGTGCGTTCTAGCGGCCAAGTTGCGAACCCCATACTTTTGGTTGCGGCGTGCTGCCATCTTCAGAGCAGGCTCGAACCTGAAGATTATTCAAATGGACGTTTTCATATTTTGAAAATAAAAAGACGGCGCGATTATCATTTTTGGAGGCCAATTGGCCAAGGCCGAGGTCGGGTGAATTCATCATCAAATAAATTCTTCAAGGGTCGAAGCACGTTCTCATTCCCCACGCAATAACAAGTTTTATAGATGTAATTAAAAGAAAAGCAAATAATAATTGTAGTTTGTTTGCCAATTTTAAACACATACTATCACATAGCGGAAAAAAGTCTTTTTTATACCATACTTACGGTAAACTGAGAATTCGTTTCCTAGAATAATTGTAAATAAATGGTCAAGACCAATATCATTATGGCATGTTTAAATGGTTTATTTATTTTAGATTTTTTAGATATATCTGTTGTTTNTATATATATAAAACTCTCTATTTTAGACTTCTTTGTGGAGTCGAAATTTTTTTCTGCAAATAAAAATTGAACTTTTTTTGTTTAATTTTAATTCTTGCCAACGTTGCGTTTAAACGGTTTGACCCAGGGCTTTCCAAAACAATGCTGCTTACATTGTCTTACGACATTTGCATTCGTATAAATAGTTTAGTAAGCTGGTGACGATTGTGGTTTCTCTTTAGTGGTCAAATTGCTGATAATACGTTTTCAGCGAAGTAGGTGGACAGTGACAAACTGCACCCGAGACTTAAACGATATATAATAATTAACGACAATTTAGAATCAACTTATGAAACAAATAGATTCATTTTGTAGTAGAAAAATTAATTTTATTTTTCTATAATACTTACGAGAAATGCAACATTTTTATAGCTTAGCTTTTGACTAAAATGACTGAATATTAAAAGTAAATATTATCCCTTTATGAATTTCGTACATGTTAATCATAAATTTTTGAAAGAAGATAAAATTAGTAGTGTAATTGAAAAAAAGCCTACGATAGCATAAACGTCTGACCCATTAGAAGCCCAATCAAAGCTGTTCCAAAAGTTAGAGTGAGAAAGAGAGAGAGAAAGAGTGAGAGAGAGAAAGAGGTGGGAGGGATGGAGGGAGCGAGAGGGAGGGAGGGAGAGAGAGAGAGAGTGAGAAAGAAAGAGGTGGGAGGGAGGAGGGAGGGAGAGAGAGTGAGAGAGATAGAGAGAGCGAGAGAGAAAGAGGTGGGAGGGGATGAGAGAGAGTGGTGGGAGGGGGAGAGAGAAAGAGAGAGAGTGAGAGAGAGACAAATGAACATAGTACAGATAATAGTCCATCTGTCCTCTATCAAACCAAATATTAATTCCAAGGTTATACGCTGAACCACGTTCATTTAAATTTCTGCACATTTAAAATTTATTTTGACAAAGGCTGAAAAGAGATTTAATCTTCTTTTTTAATCAACTCGACAATTTTTTTTCATCTGGACCATGCCGATGGAGCGATTGGGAATAATAAAAGAAAAGTGGTAGGAAAGGAAATGCAGAAAGGGAGTTCCCATGACAACACCTGACACGAAAGCTACATCAGGAGCCCTCTGAAACCTCTTAATTGGATACTTGTTCTTGAGGGTGAAATCATCCGAATGATGGCATTAACCGCCTAAGGGCTTTCTCCCTATTTTGCCCCATAATAAAACACTTAATTATTTACTACTCGTCCCTTATTCAATTAATTGAAAGAATTAACCCCCTCGCTTTGTGCGGAGCTTTCAGTCTACTATCGAATCCTGGCCTAAGTTAATAAGGAAACACACGGTGTTGACAACTCACCCCTCGGCGTTTTCCTTGATTAGGTCGTCATCGATTAAGGGAGCAACAAACTCGAAGTGAATAATGCTCAGGAGAAATAGTTGTTTCTTTAAAACAATCGTAAAATTTTTTACATTTTGAGATTTGTTATTGTAACCTTTCTCCGTTTCCGCAACTAAGGACTCTTCTGGGTATATATATCGCTATGTAGCTACATTATTAGCTTCCATAACCTTGATAGAGGATCGTCAGTTATTTTTTCTTGGTTTCCATATTTGAAATAGAAGTGGATAAAGTACCTTTTTGTACTTAGCCCATTAAGTAAGATGTAAGCATCTACTGGCACAAGTACACTACGTATGGTTTTGTAGAATCCTTCTCCTCTTTATAGCTTTCCAGTAACATGTACATTGCGGGTCCTGCTTTTCTTGGCAGAACCTGTTTTCTTCTTCGAATCATATTAATGCCATATGCTGTTGAGTCGGAATGCACAGTTGTTAATAGACCAGCCATAATCAATTTATTTATGGTGCTTTTGCAGCAAGGCTGTAAGATTAGGTAAGATTTTTTTAAGTCGCTTTTTGCATGCTTTTCTCCTTGGGTGTTATTCTTATTTAAACAACTGTTTGATTCTATTTCTCCCCAAAAATGATTTTGCTTTGGGTGAAATGATTTTGATAAAATCGTTTAAAAATTTGTTCGACAAACGATGGGGCGAGATTGTTTGAAATGCACATTCTATCTCAAACGAACACGAGGAAAACTTTTATTCAGATACTTTCACTTTGCACTAGTTGCAAAATGAAAACTTGGAAGAGTTGTATATCTATAATTATTAAATTCACTAGTTTCGTGGTCCGCTTGACCAATTAATTGTCTATAGTTATTCATAAAATTCCCCAAAACTTACCAATAAAAAGCACTAGTGCCCAATATTTCATTAATTTCTCCATTCAATGTTAACTATCCATAACCGCAATCCAAAAATATCACAAATCCACCGTGACATATCCTTTTATTGGTAAATAAGACTCCTTATTTAATCCAAAATGGTGGAATGTCTTCTCCTTAAACTCTCAAAAGTAATTCCTCTCTCATCAATTTGGGTTCTGATTCATTTTATTGCCCAGCAGTTCTTTAAAGTAGTCAATGCGATTTTTCACTGTAGAAAACAATGTGTAGAGATTAGTGACCGTTAATCGATAGTTATTCAGATATCGTGAGATGCGGTCGGGTGTGATGTAGGTTTCAGAAAAACATTTTTCCCTTGGGTGTTATTCTTCTTTGTATCTTCAACTGATCCATTCTGCAGTTATCTATATTCCTGTCACTACAACGCTTTGTGGGTCCTGCCTCTCCTATAAGTTTGTTCCAGAAGTCGCGCACACCATCAAGCTCGAGCCCAGGTGCTTGCTTATCCATTATCTTTGCGGGTCTCCCCTCTTCCATCTTCAAAATGTGACCAGCCGTGCTTAGTGTTGAGGGCTTATTACATTATTACTACATTTTATTAACACCACTTTTACATAGTAAGTGAACACTGAAAATAGAAATGAGCCAAGTATACTTTACTGAGGAACACCCGCCCTAATGTGTGTTTTCTGCCGGAGTTGGCAAAATCGGTCCGTAAGATCTCAGTATGCGCAATTCAACCTAGCGATCTGAAGTAATATTAGAATTGTCAATTATATGCAATAATCGTCGGAGAAGTAGTTTTTCTAAAATTTTGTCAAGGATACAAAGGAAACTAACGGATCGATAGAAACTAGGACTATCAGATTTATTTGGCTTATGAACCATACCATTCTAATTATTGAGAACTTCAATTGCAGTGGAAAATATATACTCCTGAGTACAGCGTTGTATAAGTATGTTAAGTGGGGAAAATTGTTTAATATTGTTGTTGTAATTAGATCATA